TTCATGCCTATGTTTGCATTTGCATGCTTATATCTTTTGTCATGCATACACTAGGTATATCTTATGGTAGGCTTGCTCGATTTCATTCTTAACCCTTGGAGCAAACCTACATGGTTTAAAATTGTTTAGGAGCACGGCACATAGCTTGTCTTACAATTATTCATCTAATATGTGCCAAAGTCCAAATTGTAGATAATCTCTCCCGAATATCGCCTTCGAAAATGACTCTCACATTCATGTGATGTCATCTTTCAAGTGGTATTATTGATTCTAAAATCAACGTGCATGACTTCTACAAGTATCCCACACTTGTGTGCACAAATTTAGGGGGAGATTACTCTACAAGTTGGATGCTTTGAGACTAACACCTTTTCAAGCTTATCATGTGTGTAGTAGTCTCATTGTAAGGAAAATGGAGTCCCCAGAGTTAAGCACCATACTTCAAATATCCACCACCTATTGCAAGTGGTAGAAATCAAATTGGTTTCCACATGTGGTATTTCTAAACCGATATCACCATGGTGATTTCATTTTGATATTTATATGCTTTCTTCATGCATTATATAGATTAAATTCCCTTGAGCAATAATTTGCCAAATATGCATATGCCTTGATTTCTACCATATGTATGCATATATTTAGGGGGAGCTTAATCTATATAATGTGATAGTTAAATTTTATGACCTATTCCACTCTACACACAAAGGATCACAAAGTTTGACCCTCCCTTGTGCTACTAATATCTTCCTTTTTGGTGTTTGATTCCAAAGAGGGAGAATTTAGAGGACCAAAAGCAAGCACTAATTTGTAGGACCAAAAGCTAGATCATAATAATTTACAAGTGGCAATGGTCTACAAGTGATGTCTACAAGTGGTAATGGTCCGAGAAAGGGAGGATAGTGAATTATGGATTGCCTATGTAATGGGGAGAATTTGTAGGAAGCAAGGCTTAAATCCATAATGCCACATGGGGACATGTGCAAGGGCAAGATAAGTTTTTATGTGATATCTTTTAGTCCTACAAGTAGTATCTTTTAGCATCAGATAATCTTGCCCCTTGCATTGCATCCTAGCAAGTAGACAGTTTTCAAATTCCAAATTTTTATTATTTGCTTGCTTTGGTCGTGTTGTCATCAATCACCAAAAAGGGGGAGATTATAAGGAAAATGGACCCTAGGCCCATTTACTTTGGATTTTGGTGTTTGATGACCAACACAACCAAATTAGACTAATGAATTTGTAAGTGATTGTTTTGTAGTCCAATAGGGTGCAAGACGTGACTTGGACGAAGGCGACGTGATGATCTGATGATCAACACCATAAGCAAGACCGTAGGAGCACAAGAAAAGACCCAAGATATCAAGCAAAGTCCAAGCACAAAGATAGGAACCAAGCCGTACGCAAGATCGCGAAGAAACGAGCTCATAGAGGTGACCAGACGCTGGAGGAAAGCAACTGGATGCTCCGATCAAGAGGCTCGGCAACAGGCGTCAGCAGCAGCGACTGGACGCTAGACCGAACGTTGGCGGCAAATCGACCGGATGTAGGACTGCAGCGTCCGATCGAGTATAGAGAGGTTCCAGAGCGGCGAAATTGCGACCGGATGTGTCCGGTGGCATGTGATCGGACGCTGGCAGCGTCTGATCAGTTGATCGTAGCTCCAACGGTCGGGACGACCGGATGCTTCCGGTCAGGACGTGATCAGCGTCCGGTCAGTAGCAGAAAAGCGGGATTTCGTCCCCAACGGCTACTTTCTCAGTGGGGCTTATAAATACAACCCCCAACCGGCCATTTGAGAAGCGTGGAGCTAAGGAAACATATCAACGGTGTTGATACACCATTTTAGTAATCTCCACTTGCATAGTGCTTAGTGATTCATTAGGTGATTAGCGTAGGTTCTTTGTGAAGTGCTTAGGTTGATTAGACCACCGCTTATGCGCTTGCTCTAGGTTTAGGTCTAGTGTTTAGTGAGGTTTGCATACCTCTTACCACTCGGTGCTTGCGCGCACCATTGTTGTACATCGGAGGAGCTTGTAGTCTTGCGAGATCACACCAACCGCATTTGTGGTGTGGCTGCCATCGTGTACCGGAGGGAACAAGGCCCATGGCGTTTCAGCCGGAAGCTTGATAGTGAAGAGGCTTGCCGGAAGGCACGTCGGAGACCCACTTGCGCGTGGGGAAGGCCCGAGGCTATCCATAGAGTTACCTGACCAGGAGCTTGACCCTTGCGAGGGATTCCTTGTGAGAGGCTCCAACGAGGACTAGGGGAAAGCTTGCGCGCTTCTCGATACCTCGGTAAAAATACTAGAGTCGTCGACAGGAGTTTGCATATCTCTACCTTGCTCTTTAGCTTCCGCATTTACATTGATTACATTACTCCTTTTGCGGTAGAGAAAGCAATACACTAGCAAAACCGTAGTTGCACATTTAGATAGTTTATCATTTGCATAAGTTTTGCTAGGGTTAGAAAAAGAGGCCATAGTTTAGAGTTAGAATTTTAAGTTGCCTAATTCACCCCCCTCTTAGGCGTCACGGTCCCCTTCAGAAGGAACCAACAGAATGCGCAATAAAAAGGTATATGATCACAAAACTGGATCAGGTGGCTATACAGGAGTGGCATTCCCAGGTGGCAAAGAATGGAAGTAGACCTGCTTTCCAAAGGTATCCATCCATTTTCAATCGATTGGCCCGAATGCTCCAAGAATTGGTTTTTCGCGCATGGGGATCACTAGACCCAGAGACCAGGGAACCGGTTGTTGGTGGGCAAATCGGAATAGCAGCACAAAGACTTTTCGATATTATTGATGCTTCTGCCAGTGGTGCCTTTGTGCCCAACCGAGAGAAGGATGAGCTGACGTACGCCCTCCAGACTCTTGAACACCCTGGGCGAACGTGAGGTAAAGGGTTAATTTCGTAGCGATATGGCTTCCCTGAGGATGCCGCTACCTACAGAAGCCGCAAGCGAAGGAAGGATGAGGAGTAGAGCGGGTCTGTAGGTTAGAGAAGGCGGTGCTTCAATTGTAGGAGCGATAACTAAACATGGAGGTGAGAATGCGATAGGAAATCAGACGGCAAGTGGCACTATAGTTGAGTAGCCAAAGGCAGTCAACATTAGAGCATGAAGTCAACGTTAGCCCCCCTCAGCTAAGAAGCAGCTGCGCTTCCACTGAGCTCCCAAATCACACTACAAGAACTGTGCCGGTTTATGCCGTTTATAACATGACATCAGGTCAAAAAGTCACTAAATCAACTAGTTTATGACAATTTTTCTAGAGGCATCCAAACTTAGTGACATAAGTAAATATATGTCACAAAAAATGCCTTAAAGCTAGTCCAATTGTATATAATGACAATATTTGCCATGTCATAAAGAACAATTTGCAAGGATGGTGTATCACAAATTATTTTATATATTTTACTAACATTATTATAAGGTGGCATGGGGGTCCAACTACCAAGACAGGTCTAGTAACATCGTAGGTGTTGATCAATGTCATTAATCCTGTCCATAATCGTATATCATTCTAGTAACCGGCAAGTTAAAGAAATGAAGATGTATATAAAATATAGAAATATTATTTATTGTTAATTATTTCAAATAGTAGATAAAAGTATACACCTGTACGCATTTATGAATAACAATAAATAGATGTTAGAATATATATGTGTGGCTGAGTTAGGTACTAAAATAACAATTAAACAAAAATATATTTCACTACTGGAAACTAGAATTGCCCTGTGGGGGATGAATTTTTCTGTGGGTTTTTGGCCACCCCAACGGGGAAATTCATGATTAACATGTCGGTTCTGAAAAAACCGACATAAAAATACAAATACACACAGGGAAATGTCATGTTTTTTCTATGCGTGAAAATACGCATAGGTTAATTAGAATGGGAGAATTCTCTGTGTGCCATTATAAAAGATCATAATGCCCTGTGTGTCCCTAGAAAAGTTCAGCGGTCTTCAGCGCCACTACTCCAACTTTTTCGTGTCCTGCATGCCACTTCCGTCAGTTTGGGCTCTAACGCCGTCAAACTGCAGGTGTGAAAAGACGAAAATACCCTTAAGTCTAAATATGTTATTAATTTTTTTGAGCATCTTTACGACTTCAAATGAAAAAACTCAAAACTAGAAAGTTGTAGATCTCGTCGAGATCTATAATTTTCATATAAAAATGATTTTCATTTAATTCCGCAAAAAAAATGATTTGATATGATTAATATATCTTAGAAAAATCATAATATTTTTTTTTGCAAAATTATGATTTGATATGATTAATATATCTTAGAAAAATCTTGAAAGTGGCATGGAGGACACGAAAAAGTTAGAGTAGTGGCACTGAAGACCGCTGAACTTTTTCAGAGGCACACAGAGCATTGCAATCTTTTATAATATCACACATGAAATTCTCCCGATTAGAATTACCCTGTCGGTTTTGTTACAACTCACATCACATGAAAATATTAATTATTCTTTAGATTAAAACTTTATACACATAGAAAATTTGTCAATACACAGGGAAATTGAATTGTGCGCAATGGATTTGGCGTTCACACGTTAACATTGATGTTGGTGCCTTCTGGTGAATCGAAATAGAAAATACAAAAAAAACCTAAATCTAAACCCCCCTGCAGCCCCAGCCCCACTCCCTTCCCTTAGGTCCTGTGACTTGTGAGCGCAAGTGCGCAACCGTGGCTCCCCATACTCTCCGTGACCGCGACTGCAGGTCCCGTGATGCTCTCCACCGCCGGCCGGCGCCTCCAGATCAGCCGCCGGCCACCTCCCCCAGGTCCGGCGCCCCAGATTCTCCGCCGGCCGCTGCCCCTAGGTCCGGCGCCCCCAGATCTGCGGCCGCCTGCCGCCCCTAGGACCGGCGCCCCCAAATCCGCCGTCGGCCGCCACCCCCAGGCTCGCCGTCGACCGCGGGCTCTCTAGGGCGCGGCCCTAGGCCTGCCTCCGGCCGCCGTCTCCCGATACATGGGCGTGATCATCCAGTCATGCGGGCGCAGCCCTCACGGCGTGCCGCCCCGTCACAGGCGCGGCCCCACCTGGACCATGGCGGATCTGCATCCCCTCAACCCCTCCTCATCCTAGCATCCGGATCTGCAGCTCCGAGTGCAACCAGCATGGAGGCAGCGGTGCCACTTCCAGTGGCCAAGGTGAGCCCTCTTCCTACAGCAGCTGTGAGATTGTGTAGTTTGGGCGCTATTTATGCATTTGTGTCGGCGCTAAAGGAACCTGGAGAATTTGTTGTCTTTAGGATATTGTGGTTGAGGTGGGCAGAGCAGTGGTGCAATGGGCATCTAGTAGCAAGGTGGCTCAAGTCGTTAGCTGGGTTGAGGAAGGTGGAGCAGCAGCAGCAGCATCATAAGGAGGATGCAGATGTTGGATGATGGTACGGCCTGGCTTTCTTCCGTTGCATTCATGTTAGTGATCCATCCTCGTAATGAACATGTCAACTTGCTCTCTTTGTTGCATGTGTGGCATTTGACAAATTTGTACTATCCTATTTTGAGTAGCGACTAGTACAGATTTTTTGACCAAATATCAACATTACTATCCTATATTCTGTACTGACTAGTACATATTTTTTGACATGGTGATCCACTTGTTTAAAACATGTTTATCTATTGGTGATCCATGATCTATTTGTTGTCCTGCCCTGTGATAACTGATAACATTTCTGCATATAGCTGTGTTGGCTGCTAGCTGCTCAATTTGCTTGGAGAAAAAAGATAATAGAGAAATAAAATTTGAAGGGTTAGATATATAAGAGCTCTGGGCAAGAATAGCCTAAAGGAAACAGATATATTGCATCATGTGCTGCTCTAAATTTTTTGCCTTTTGAGTTTCTGGTTATGCTAATTTGCAATAATAAATTGGAGCAGACACTGTTAAGATTGCTTATTCAGAGGTTCCTGCTGCAGTAAGTTTGTCAGGTTGAGAACATTTCAAGCAAAATTTCAATGGCTTATGGAGTTTATTTTAAGCTTTATGGTATGCTTGAAATTGTAGGTGTAGCACAACAGCACTGTCCTACTACATTAAAAAGAGTACATTATGATGGCTTGAAATTGTAGGTGTAGCATAGCAGCTTTGAATGAGCCATATCCCTCTTTCTAACTGACATGCTGCCATCCATTTGTACAGTTGGGTCTCAGACTGGGCAATCGGTTTAAACTGAGTATTCGGTTTGGTTTGATCGGTTTCTCTAGAATTCGGTTTCCAGAGATGGAGAACCGATCGGTTCCTCAAAGAACTATCAACCGACGAGTTCGGTGTCGGTTTCTTCGGTTTCGGTTTCACCGAACAAACCGACAAACAGCGGCAGAAGGAGCAGAGCAGGCTCCTTTTCCTGCAGCCGCAAGCTCTCCAGCGCTGCTGGCCCCTTAAATATGAAACTGGGAAAGTATATGTTACTGCTAATTGATACTGCTGAGGACGCCATGTCTAAAGATATGGCATCCTTAAATATGAAACCGGGAAAGTATATTTAGTCCGCTGGAGTCATGGGGTAAACCAGTTAAATTATTTAGCACCCACCTTTCTACAACAGGAAAATACACATGTCTTCTATCAATCTAGCAATAACAATGGACACTGCTCTTGCTTCCAGGCTTTACAGTATATGTATTTTTAGCTGTCTAATTGGTGGGTTCTGATGAAATCTAAATAAAAAGCATGATTGGCTGCATCCCACTCTTGTTATGCGATGCTGCATGCTGGTTACAAGATTGACCCTGCTGTTATTATTCCTGGTTGCAGTAAAAACTCACAATTTTGAGCATCACCATGCATGTAGGCTCTGGCATTAAAAGTGGACACTGCTCTTGGCTTCCAGACCTTACTGTTTCATTTTTTTAGTACTGAAAATTAGCAAACTTCAGTGCCTTTGTTGCATATCTGGTGAATTGAATGTTGATTTTGAAATACTTAGGCTATCTATTATTTTGTTTCCCGCAGGTCCATGACAGTGCTGCAGCTGCTCGTGCGCATCTCTACCTTAGGTAAGCAACACAACATTGGTGGCTAGTAGCAGTACAACCAACTCAATTCAGTTTCAGCTTTGAATTGTTTGTTAGATTCATAGGAGAAGGTCAACAGTTTTAGATTTATAGCAGAACCTGCCTTTGCATATTGATTGCTCTGTTCAGTGACATCAGTTTGTGACTTGCCTACTCACATGAATAGTAGATAGACCTTTGTTACATATCGGCCATCATTCCATAATCATTTGATTAATACTAGCTGTTTATTTTGAACTCATCTTGCTTGTCTCGGTTTTGCATTTAATTAGCTTTGTTGGTAGCAGTATGCTCTTTTGCATATGCAGTCTGTATGCACAGATGAGTATTTAGTTCACTGAAATTTTATAAACCTGACAGATGCTTGGATCTGAAATTTTATAAACCCCAAGTGGAGGCTAGTTTGTCATACTGCGAGGTAATTGCATGTCCTTAGCCCTCCCCTGAAGCCTCCCCTTTCTTGTGTGGATCTTTCTTCTTGCATGGATCTGATGACCTCCCCTTTGGCTGAATCAACATACTTTTTAGTGATTAAATAGGAAACCTGAAAAGAGAAGGCTGTGAATTTTGTTAGGCTGTGAATTTTGCTGCAGCACATGTTAACCTGATAGTATGATCTTTAGCAAAAACGATCTTTAAACCAGATCTGGCCTGAACTAAAATTTGGCCTTAACATAGGCTGAACTTAAATAGATCCTGTTTATTGGCTGCATCTCATGTTCTCCACTGAAAAAAGTATGTGCAACCTTTGCGAAATAAATCACTTTTGATTACTCATTTAATGTAGTCTGCTGAAGTACTGATATGGACAATAGTAGCTATTACGGTTGGTATATTCTATAATTTCATTTGTTTCTTCAGTTGTACATGATTGCAGTTTGCCTTTGTCCAACCTCTAATTGTTTTTTGTCATAGCCTTGGATATATAATCTGGTTGAGTTGTCAATGATGTGTATTTATGTCTGCATTTCCTTGCAGATAAACCAAGAGTGGTGCTGCGCTCCTTGGAGAAGATCAGAAGCTGCTGCATGTGTGATCTAGTTGTGCCTAAAACTTGCCAAGAGAAAATTTAGATCAGTGAAGTTTGCATCTGTTTTTTATATCTGTGTATGATCAGGGTGCTGTCATCTATGCTAGTTATAGATTTGCACACTTTGACTTAAGCATACGCTGGATTTGGTCATGAATGAAATTCAATTGTATATGGATTTGGATGGATTCAGACCGATTGATTCAACATTTGATTTGGGCCTCAGTGTGTTAAATGGGCTAGGCTTATATTTGTTTTGTATGAGTGGTTGTAATGGGATTTGCCTATTTAAAATTTGTGCAATATGCAAATGGATATGTGACAAGGTCGAAGAACCTATGACGTTGAAACAAAAGTCATAAACCTTTATGACTTGAAAACCAATGTCATAGATTTATGACATGAACATATAAACGACACAAAGCATGGTTTAAGGCGCATGGTTTGTGACTCGAGCTTTTGTCATACAAACATCACAAATGCTCATATGTGACATAAATTTCACATATTATGATATAGATTAATTGTCATAAAATCTCACATCTCTTGTAGTGTTAAGATGACGCATTGTAGCACTTCCTCGTGGATGACATCACTGTGCCTTTGACGCCATGTGAGCTGCACATTCCCATGGGGAATAGCACAGTCGTGGTGGCGCACGGTATTGTTTCTCCTGTGGCCCTGACAAGACACCAAGAAGCCATGGGAATCCAATTCCACCTTAATATTATAGTGTCTCGGTGGATAGAGTTATCAAAGAATATAGGGAAGTGGCTCTTGACTTTCCTGGAGGTGATGGAGAGCATTCATTCGTTATATGGTGCAAGCGCTACATCATTATTCCCAGTGCGGTGGCTAGGGTACCGTCGCCTCCTCCTCAACTACCTCATGATAGGTGCGGATCAAAGTGAACGAAACAGTTTTTCAATAATCATTCTCAATTATTTGCTTCTCACGTATAACCATTTATTCACAATCATTTTTGTACTCACAGGTCTCTCAACCTGAGTCCAGTTCTTCCATCCCATGATGATCATCAGAGTGGTCTGGACGATGATGATGCTCTGGACAATGATGATGCATTACATGGCACAACTGCATCTCCATCTCCTCCAAGGCGGTCTCCCCCTCCTCCGCCTCCCGCGTCGCAGAGGTGCCATAAGAGTCCCCCGCCCCCGGTGAAGTCCCCGTTGAAGAAGAAAGCCAGCCGTCGTAAAACAAAGTCCCAGAGAAGCTACCTTACGAGAAGTCTGAAGAGGAATCAAAAGCATAGCACAAAAAGATTTGGTTAATTGGCGGCAAAGTGTAGCAGAATCAATAGCAAAGAAGAAGGAACTTATGAAAAACCCGCCAAAGACGCACTACATAGCTCAACGAGAACTAAGGAAAAGAGTCAGTGAAGTGGAGAAAAAGCGGTGTGAGGCATGTAAGCCCCCGCCATTATCGGACTATGAACGCTCTCTTGACAAGTCATATAAGGCGTCGCTGAAAGCAAAGAGAGCAGGGAAAGATGTTGCACAGCTCGGGCAGCAATCTAAGCAATCTATCGACCCACTAGTTGTTGAGGATGATTGTACAAACGCACAAGGCGGTCCCATCGATAGGGAGGCACTCCAAGACTTCATGGACACAACAGGTCTCACACCTCAACAGCTCATTGGGGGAGGATCGATACCAACAGCCAAATTTGATATTTACCGGACCTATGTGTATGGCAGAACTCTTGTCAACCCTAAGTCCTATTCATCACAGGGTACACAAATGTTCTTGTTAAACAAGTGGTACTTAAATACGTGTGCGAAGGACGAGGCATGGTTTCTTGCAAGAGTTAGACCAGAGCATTACTTCAATGGCTATGACATTGTACATATTGAGTTCAATGAATTACACCAACTATTGAACCGGGACGCGCTCGACAAATCTCTCCTCAACTGCTGGTGTCTATAAGTGATTGTTTCTACAATTGAAAGCAACTTGCATGTTAGTTCATTGTCTATATATAGTTATCCTCACACTATATATATTCTTTTTGTACTATATAAATGCAGATTTGAGATGCTAAAAATAAAGAAAAAAAGTTAATGGATGTTGGTTTTATGGATCCGAATCGCACATTCAGAGACACGGTTACTCCATATGATAGATGACGAACTCAAGTGGAGAAGAATCTGTTTAGGTTCTTAGATAAGCAACATGACAAGACACTGATACTCTTTCCTTACAACTTTAAGTGAGTGTTAATGTCTCATTTTATTTTGCTTACTCCATGTTGACTTTAGTTAATGAGTTATGCCTGCGTATAAATATGTAGCTTTCACTGGATACTGCTGGTAATCGA